ATCAGGTATAGACCTCTCTGGGTGTTCTGGGGTCAGTGGAAGGGGATTCTCTTTAGGTTTTCTAATACCATCATTTAAAGTACTATCTTCCTTCTGCTCACCAATACAGGAAGTATCATAAGGGGTTTTCAATATAACCCCATCTGCCATTTCTGCTACCTCAGGATTCTTCTCTAACCTGGGGCATCCCTTGTTTAATTCAGAGGTTAGGGATTCCATTCTTCTCTCAGGGATTGTTAACTGCTCTCCCAGGGAACATGTTACTCCAAAGCACTCTGCACATGCTTAGTGAGATCTAGTCCAATTAAACAAGGTGCTGGAATTTGATCAGAAATTGCCACATCCCAAATTCTGACCCAATCTCTATAGTTGATCTTTACTTCAGCCATAGGTAAAGTCACTGGAGTAGAATTTATTCCCTTGATTATAACAGTTTGGTTTGGAATTATTTATTCTCTAGGCACCACATCAGGATGACACAGGGTAATGTTGGAGCACGTAACAAGCACTCCCACATAAGACTTCTCATTAATAAGAATCTTCTCACCAGGGTTCTGTACTAAAATATCTTCTGTCTTTACAAGAAAACACTGAACAATCTTAGCTAGTGGCAGATCAGAATTTTCTGTGCTAGTTGCCATGGAGACAGAACCATTGTTACTACTTCCGTCAGTTGCTTCCACAGTTTTAAGCAGTATACCTTTTTTGTCTGTCTATCATCCTTTCCATTTTTATTCTTGTTTTTACTACAATTTGACTGAATATGCCCAAACTCTCCGCAGTTATAACACTGTTTAAAAGTCGTTCTCTCACTCTGAGGTGATCTATTAAACTTTTCCTCAGGGTTCCCTCTCTTCAGAGGACTAGGCCCTGACAACTTGGGTGAGGCAACTCTGGCCTTTCCCTGATGTGTTTCTGAGGTAATTTTTATTGAAGGGTTTTTTACTGTTGTCCCAGGTCTGCTTGTTAAATTTTACCTCCGAGAACGTGTGACTTAAAAGTCCTTCTCTCAGTCTGAGGTGATCTATTAAACTTTTCCTCAGGGTTCCCTCTCTTCAGAGGACTAGGCCCTGACAACTTGGGTGAGGCAACTCTGGCCTTTCCCTGATGTGTTTCTGAGGTAATTTTTATTGAAGGGTTTTTTACTGTTGTCCCAGGTCTGCTTGTTAAATTTTACCTCCGAGAACGTGTGATTTTGAATCTCCCCAATGTAATCAGCTGTTTCACCTGCTTCTAATAGATTTTTAGGATTTTTGTCTTTAACTAAATAACTCAATTCCCCAGGCAAAATAGAATAAAATTGTTTTAACCGAATCACATTTTTCATTTGTTCTAGAGAAATGACATTTTCACATTCCATCCATTTGTCCAAACATTGAAGCAGCTTAGCTCCTATCTGGGAATAAGATTCTTCAGGCTTTTTGGTAAGGGAATGAAATTTTTTTCTTAGGTGTTCTGCATTTTTGCCAAATCTAGCATATGCCATCTTTCTACCGTATATGCTTCAAAATGTGCTCCAGAGGCATCAGAAAATAAAGTTCCGCTAAATCTCCACTTCTTTGTGAGCTTAGCACTATCATCCTTTCATCATCCCTAAAATCCCTACACACCCTCTCAAATGAAATGAGGAAAGATTCTGGGCTGTCACCTTTTCTATATTGGGGAAATTTCTTTAGATCGATCTTTGAGAGATTTCCCTCACTACAGCTGTTATTGTTGTTGTTGTTATTAGTTTGAGTAGCAATTCCAGACTTTTCATCTCTATTTGAAATTCCATTTCTTTTAATTCCATTTGTCTGGCCTCAGCCCTCTCCTTTTCTCTGATTTCTAGTTCCCTGAGCTCTAGTTCCTTAGCTTTCTCTTCGTCTCTGGCTTTTTCTCTCTCCTTAATCTCTAATTCCTTGAGCTGTAGCTCCTTAGCTTTCTCCTCAGCTCTTTCTTTAGCCCTTTCTTTCTCCAATTCTAATTGGTTTCTCATAGCTAGCTCCTTCAATTTAAATTCTTGTTCTAGTTTCTATTTTTCGAAATCTAGGGAGTCTAGATCCCTTTGTCTCTCTGAGGCACCCTCATCAATCTCCTCCTGTTCCATTGGAGTTAAAGGGTCTCCATTTCCCTCCATTTCTTTAGGTAAACTCTCTGCCTCACGACTCCCCTTTTGGCTACGTTTGGGGGGGCATGTTTACTTCTGAGATAATTAGTCTTGAGTGTTTGTACTGATTTTAAAAAGGACCTGTCTTTCTTCTTTTAATTCCAGTAACTATTGTTGGGCTACTCAGCAGATCTCTCTGGCTGTTCTCCTGCTAACAACCTTATTTACTGTGTCTCTCTACATCTGAGCTATTCTTATTCTCAGACACCCAAAATAATTTTATTTTTCAAGACTCTGTTTTGATTTTCCTTTCCCCTCAGATCTGCTCTGACCTCTGGCTTCCGCTTTTATCCACCAGCGCTACCTTCTCTCAGAGCCTTGGACTTTAAGCTAGCCCACTGGTCTTCCAAATCCTGAGGTAAATAAACAGGAATTTTTCCTTCAGAGTCGTTCCCTATCTTTAGTCCCCCCAGATCTGGGATCAGAAGCCCCACTACTGAGCTTTTCCACAAAAGCTTTAGCAGGTCAGACACTTCTTCATCACAGACCTCTGTCTAAAAAGGTACCCTTGACTCAAAAAAATTCACTTTCAACTCTGGCTTTATTGGATTCTTTCGTATCCCGCTGCTGCCCACCAATTGTGACATTCGCCCCTCGTGGCCCCTGCTTGTCTCCCCAAACACGGAACTAACAAAGGCAAACTAAAACCTCTCTTCACACGCTACCACCAGTTGATCTCCTTAATGTACTTTACTTAGAAAAGACAAAGGTCCATTCAGTACTGACTTATTAATAAAACAGGTTTATTGATTACAGATGGTTTCTAGGATAATTCATAAGCATATTCTTTCAGTTTCATCAAGCACCAATATTAATCTTCTATATTAAATATCACAGGTTACTAATCACTCCTCAGACTCCAAACCATCCTTCTCTCAGATTCCTAACACAGACTCAGACTCTCTGGCTCCCCCTCTCTCAGGCTACACCTTTTAGCATCTCTTTCAGCTCTGCCTCTCAACCACATTAGGATAGAACATGAATAATACATGACTTATATTACCTAACAAAGGGTGAACACTACATTCCCAATTAGTAACTGTAGGTTTTGCCTTATAATTTCAGTTTTATAAGGGTCAGGGACAATCTGGATAAAATCAGCCAAGTGGATATTATGACAACTCTAGCCTTCATTATGTCATGGGTGGGGGTGGGGAGGCTGGAGCTGGCAAGGGTTAAGAAGGAGATGGAACTGCTTCTAGGCCATCTAATTGTGTAACATAAGAAAAATCTGGGTAAATGGGTCAAGAAACCATATAAAATTTTCTTAACCATGGAACAGGGCAACCAAGGAAGGGAGATTTGGGGTAATCAGGCAAGCAGCACAATAAGTCCAGCAGCTGCAGCAGTTGCCTCCATTCCTGATATAAATCCACACCTCATGTTGCTTTATTTATAGTTGTGGGGCTTGCAAGGGTCCTCCCAGCCTTGGAAGCAAGAGTTGGATTCCCTACCCACAGTTCACATGTGAACTGGGGCATTGGTGAGGGAGAGGCAGATGATGCTCTTAAGGCCACAGGTGTAGCTACAGCAGGACTTGGATTTAAGCAAGACAGCAAAGTAGGAGAGGAAGGTTGTTAGGTGGATACCGTGGACTGGGGCGTGGGTGAGGCCCAGAAGGTGCTGCTGCAATTGGAGATGTTGATGGCTGGATGGGAGATGGTATGCTGCAGTGCTCCTGAGACTTTCTTACTTGGTCGAGTTGCTCATCCTACCTGAGGAAGCCACCTTCGTTCATCAGGACCAGGCCAAGTACCAAGAATCATGGAGGCTCAAGAAACAGCATTGAGCCCAGCAGCAGCAGAGGAAGCAGCAAGGGCAAGCAGCCCCAGTGGAGAAATCCCACAGTCTTACTGGTCTCTGGAAGGCCAGCCTCCAGCTCCTCCCTATCCTACACTTTGCTACATGGGAGAGGCCAGCCAGGTCCAGATAGACTTCTGCCATATCTCTTGGGACGATTACTGCATGTTCAGGACAGCAGCTGATGGTGGGGGTTATGGAGGGGTCTTTGCCACTCACCTCCAGGGCAACTACAGTGTGCATCCAGCACCTTGTTGCAGCACCCTATGCCTGGCCCACCTGCACAGTGTCCTAGAACTGGTAGAGGAGGCAGGGTTCCACTCCTCCCAATAAAATACTTTTGGGGGGCACTGCCCCAAGGACTGGGAGTGAACTTACTCCCTGGCACCTGGAATTATTAGTTTTATGTTCTTGATCCTGTTGGTCCTTTAAGAGTTTTCTTGCTTCCGTAAGAGCCCATTCCAGTAACTACTTATGTCATAATGGAAGGGAGTAGGGGGCTGCTCACAATAGCATATGTGACATACTGGGAGTTTTCCACCCACTATGTTGCTTCTGGAACTTGTGGAAGAGTTGTCAGAAGCTCACAGGGAGTTTTTTTCTCCCCAGATGTTTTTCTTTCCTTTCTTCAGGCAACAGGTCTCATGAGTTGCTATAACGGTGTGTCAAATGGCATGATGGACCTAGCTATGTGAACCACCCACTCTTTCCCTGCTTTTACTGCTCAGACATTGTCCCTATACAATGCATTTATAAACATCTTCACACAGAACCCAGAGTGGTAGAATATACCAGATGGGCGGGATATAAATCCAACCAATCAATCAATCAATCAATCAATCAATCAATCAACCAACCAACCAACCAACCAACCAACCAACCAACCAACCAACCAACCAACAAACAAACAAACAAACAAATAAACAAACAAGTGAATTCTAATGCTAGCTGGGAGTATGGGGTATGTGTATCCCTTAACTTTTAAGCCATCTTCCACATTCACATTCTTCTCCACCATTCTAATGCTAGCTGGGAGTACGGGGTATGGGTATCCCTTAACTTTTAAACCATCTTCCACATTCACATTCTTCTCCACCAGTGCTGGTTGCCCTGAGATGTTTCTCCCATCTGGCCACCCATAAAAACATAGCAGTTCCCTGCAACATCAGCTGTTGTCCTGAAAGTTGGCAACTGCAGGAATCAACTGTGGAAGGATCACCAAAGAACATATAGATGACCTGATAACATCTGGATGACTAAGCCATGTGATTCAGACATACAGATTCCCATTATGTGGCTGCATCATAGGGACTAGGATAAAAGGATAACCATATACAGTATGCCACATCAAAAAAGAAGATACAGGTCTGTATAAAATTTATCTTATGCTGAGGACAGAATGGAAGATCTTACCCATGTCACTGAAAAGATTTAGAAGAAGGTGCGTTTGAAGTGAAGATATGGTAGGATATATTTGACCTAGTGAACTCAATTAACTCACTTCTTCACATGATTAAAGGTAGGATAGTTCAACATCCCTTCTTAAGATACATTTCTGCTATCACTTTTAAGAATGTCTTGCCTCTTTCCCTTGCAGAAATCATTACAATCTACAAGGCAGAAGGTTTGGTAAATGTGTGGTGGAAGGATCATCACAGAACTAGCAAGGTAAAACACCATGGGTGGGAAGGAAAGATGCAATGGAGGAACTTTGGAATGACAAAAGTTTGGAATAAGGTTACATTTGTCTGTTTGAAAACTGGGCACCCATTACCAGTGAACTCTAGAAACAGACTGAGAACAATTTTTAGAGTAGTGTGAGGCCCACCTTCCCCTTCATTCTGAAAAATCAGCCATGTGAAATTTTTACTCCAGTACCCTTAAAATAATATTATCAGAATGATTCCATATAGAATGTATTTGTTTATCTGAATTTCAGCCAGAAAGTCTGCATTGATTTGCCAAAAAAATGGAAAATTATCTTCACAGTCCACTTATGATGGAAACCATTTTAGACAGCACACATAAATCCTCACTTGAGACCTCAGGTGATTCCATTTAGTACGAAGGGTCTGTTTTCCTGTTTGTTAAATTCATCTGAAGGACAGTTACAAAATATGTTATGGCAATTTTCTTGGTCCAGGAATCCTAGTTTGTTTCCCAGCTTTGACCCCTTCACCTATAAAAAGAATCTAGTAGTCTCATTACTACTAATATCATTACTATCTTTCACTGTATTTTAACCAACTTTCTGAAATAATATATGAGGCACCATTCTTCAGATAAGCCTCCCTGCCTTGTTAACTCTCAAGTTAACTTTACACTGGATGAGAAACTTGCTATACTGTACAAAACACACTTATGCATTCTTTATGGATGTCATGACATCACGTTAGTGAGAGCCATGGCAGTAGACCTAAACCACACAGAGTATCCTGAAATTACAGAGATGGAAATGAACCACTGGTTCAACAGTTTGTGCCTGCTTGTTTTTCAGCCATACAGGTTGTGACGGCTGTGATGACGTCACCTGCCTATCAATGTTATGCTGGAGCTCATCTGCCTATGGCAGGGCAGGAGGTGGGACTCCAGGAGGTGGAGCTATGTATATAAGGGGGGAGTGAATGGTGTGTGGAGTTTAGATAGAGCTAGGATGAGAAGATAGAGTTTGAGTTAGGGCATGTATGTTATGAAGTACTGTGCTAGATAAGGTCTGAGTGATAGAGTGACTGAAGGGATTCTTTATTTTATTGATTGACATATTCAGTTCATATATTGATTTACCTTATATTAAGTTGCACCAATAAACAATAATTTTTATTTTTAAAATCCATACCTTTGTCTGAGGAGTCAGATATATGTGTGTGGTTGGTGGCAGCGTGTTAAGAGAAAGAAAGTGTGAAGTGGCGTCCCCTCTGTGACGTATAAGGAGGCGGCCACACAGGTGTTTGGTGTTTCCCAGCCCCACCTGCTCTGGTGGGTGCCCACTCAGAGGCAGCACCCATAAGAGGCAGGACAGGGAAGCTTGAGCACTTCCTGTGAGTCGGTGCCTGCTGGAGGAGGTGGGGATGGGAAGTGGTAAACACCTGCTTGGCCAAAAAACCAACCCACACAAACCGCTGAACCAGTGGTTCCTGCCCATCTCTACTAACATATTCTAAGACTCATCTATCTTAATAAGTCAAGTCAGTTCTGATTTATGGCATCCCACTTTGGGGTTTTCCATGTAGAGGGTATTCAGAAGTGGTTTACCATTCCCTTCTTCTGTGGACAGCCTGGCATAGTGGAGGATTAGAACTTCCAACCTCTGGCTCCGAAGCCAGGTACCTGAACTACTGAGCTGTCTAGAGAACTTATTCATTTTATCAATGGATAATATACTGGTCTGGTCAGAGAAGCAATTGCGCTAGTTGGCATGTTAACAACTTCTCCCCCGCCCTCCACTGTAAGGAGAGCTTTGTCATTCCTCCCTGCCAGTCTCAACTAGGGACGTTAAGCTGCAAAGGCTTTTTGATCAGCTATATAGACCTTTGGCTGCTTAGGTAAGGACAGATCCTGAAGGACAGATCCTGAAGCTGAGGCTCCAATACTTTGGCCATCTCAAGAGAAGACTCCCTGGAAAAGGCCCTGATGTTGGGAAAGTGTGAAGGCAAGAGGAGAAGGGGACGACAGAGGACGAGATGGATGGACAGTGTCATCCAAGCTACCAGCATGAATTTGACCCAACTCTGGAAGGCAGTGGAAGACAGGAGGGCCTGGTGTGCTCTGGTCCATGGGGGTCACAAAGAATCGGATACAACTAAATGACTGAACAACAACTGTCTAGCTAGATTCAGGGGGCTCACAAAGTGTGATTATTTTTGCTATATTGTCTTATGTTGCATCCTTGTCAACTATCTATACAATAAGCCTTCTAAGGCACAGAATTCAAACATAATCTCACTGCGGTTCTGGCTAGTTCAAAACCACCATCCAGCACCTTTGTTACGAGCCCATTGGCTATGGGAGTCCCATTGCATGGTTGACCAAGGTTCAGCTACTTAAAGTGTCTTCCCACAGCTCAGAAAAGTTACTGTTTGAGCATAACATTTCCATAATCTCACAGGCAGCATGGTCAGTGAACTTCTCCTCAGAGGGTCAATGCTCATCCAGTCAGTTCCTATATACAGAATGGAGGCAGGCCATTTTTGCATTGGCTATGAGAACAACATGTCTTAGGCTCACTGCAATGACATTCTGAACTTCTCAGAGGGTCAATGCTCATCCAGTCAGCTCCTATACACAGAATGGAGGTGGGCCATTTTTGCGTTGGCTATGAAAATAACATGTCTTAGGCTCACTGCAATGACATTTTAGGATCTGTGAGGTGGTAACCAGCACTGAGTTACAGTTTGAGATGAGTGATTTATACAATGGCTTTGATGTCACAAAAGCATTATGACATTTCAGGCTGACATGTGTTCATATGTAGGGATGACATGTGTTTATATTTAGAGTAAATCCAGTTAGGTCAATGGAGAATTCATCACCATCATTATCACAGAACTACAGAGCTGGGATACTGTAGTCTAGCCCCTTTTAAGGAGGCACAGTAGGGAATCAAACTCCCATCTGGCTTCACAGTTACTGTAGATACCTAAAGGTAAAGGTAAAGGTTCCCCTTGACAATTTTTGTCCAGTCGTGTTCGACTCTAGGGGGTGGTGCTCATCCCCATTTCCAAGCCCTAGAGCCAGCGTTTTGTCCGAAGACAATCTTCCGTGGTCACATGGCCAGTGCGACTTAGATACGGAACACTGTTACCTTCCCACCGAGGTGGTCCCTATTAATCGACTCGCATTTCCATGCTTTCGAACCGCTAGGTTGGCGGGAGCTGGGACAAGCGACGGGTGCTCACTCCATCACATGGAGTCAATCTTACGACTGCTTGGTCTTCTGACCCTGCAGCACAGGCTTCTGTGGTTTAGCCCACAGCACCACCACGTCCCTAGATACCTAAACCACTGAGCTATCCAGCCTTTCATTGATTTCAGTGGGTCTACTTTAAATACAGCTGTTTGGATTTCACCCAATGAATTTTCTCCTTTGGCAAAATAGTACATGACTTTTATGATACAGGAAAAAATGTTGTTTTCCCTTTAAGAGAGAGAGAGAGAGAAAATAAAATAAAAGCCTTGCCCAAATTGTTGTCATGTGTCTGCATTGCAAGTGGCATTCACATTATTTTGCTTGGAGACAGCTACAACTAAGAATATAACACTATACCTCATTTCGTGTCCAAATATATTTCTCTACGCATCTGAACCAATCAGGAGATGCTTTCCCTAAATACTGCAAAGATTTCCACTTGTTTCAGGATATTTCTAAAACGTGCCTCTGAGCTGAGGGCTCAGGTTTGATTAATGCATCGTTTCCTTTTTTAAATTAGAAACAGGAATCGTGAGTGATTGTTTAATATTTTTCTTCTGTTTGCTCTTCTGCTCTTTTCCATGCGGTCTTAATTGCAGCCGGCTTCCCAGGCCTGATTAGGAAGATTGTACATCTGACTGCAGTTTAAGACAGCGCTTCAAGGCAGGAACTCAGACTTTTTGTTTCCACTAAATAAGAACAATCTGGGAACGAAACCAGTCGAGATATCTACCCTTCCACGTTCTTTCCTTCTGATTAGAGAAGCTAAACTGGAGGAACAGACAATGGCAGGGACGAAGCATGTATACATTATAGAGAAATACAGCTATGATTCTGTATTTTTTTTAAAGGAAGAAGAAACCAAAAACACTTGTGGAGGCAATTTAGCTCAATGAAAAAGAGAGGGTCTTTAACCCTTTCCTTTCTTCATGATACTCTGACCCCAACTCTATCTCCCAAATCCCAAATGTAAATTGCAATTGTGGAAATAAATCCCACTTGTCTAATCCTTGCAGGTAAAGATGAGGAACTGCAACATTCTTCTCCTCACTGATGAAGATGTTGGGGACTTTCTTGGGACTACTGTTGAGAGTGGTGTTCTAGGCAAAAATGTGTGAAAGTTGTGAATTATCCAAAACTAGGACATCTGCTGTTTTATTTACAAATCTGAAGCACTTGATGAGTTCTTGGCGTTTTCCTTAGCAATCGGCCAGTCCTTCAGTGTTTGCTGTGGGTGTGCACATTTTGCTTCTCAAGAGGAAAGGATTTCAGAAAACGTTTAGGCAAATAACAAAGATCTTGATGGGAAAATAAGGACTTTTTGTCTTGTTCTTATCTGGAAATAAAAAAAAATCTTGTAGAACTTGTGGACTTCTCATTGAGATGCTTTCTCATTTGGGTTACTCCAGACCAAGAAGCATAAGGGATTTAGTGAATGTTCTTTGCATATCTATTATGAAAGTGTGCAGGAAGAGGTGCAGAAGCAATAACTACCTACCAGTCACAATTTTTTTGGCTTGAAGCCACATATACACCCATGCCAGGTTTGCAAATACTTAGAGCATCCAGCTCAACCTGTATAGGATGGGGATAGTGAACTTTTTTCAGACAGAGGGACAAACTGATTTTAGGAAAGCACATTGTGTACCATATGCTGATTAATGGGTCATGCAATAGCTCAAGGCGAGTAGAGCCACTCCACTGCTGGGCACAGTGTATACACAGGAACACAGGCCCACATACAGACACACATGGTCCCTCACACCCACTGCCCCTCACATACTACTATCTTGCATTTTAAAAAAATACTGATGGCTTTTGGACTGTTTCATTGCAATGAGGCAGGGGTAGTGGTTTGGTAGGAGGGAGTTCTCAAACCTGGTTTAGGGATAATTAGCTCTTCTTTTCCCTGTAAGGCAGTGGTTCACAATGCTGGGTAACCCAGGTGTCCTTGGACTGCAACTCCCAGAAACCCTGGGCAACACAGTTGGTGGTGAAGGCTTCTGGGAATTGCAGTCCAGGAACACCTGGTTCACACAAGGTTGAGAACGACTGATTTAAGGTACGAGGTGGTGGTCTCAAACTCTTGACAATTGGGCTCTAGCCTATGCTGCTGGCCTTCTCTTCTGACTTTAGCCCTAGCTGACTGAGCTCTATGTTTCAAAGACACTGTTTATACTGCCAGTCAGGTGATGTAAAGATTGCAACACCAGGCCCTAGTGCTGAGACCCAGAGTAGACCTGTTTCATTTGTATTACTTGCCTGTATTGGAGGGACATTGCTTAACTTTTGTTTCTTGCTTCTTTTCTAATATGATTTCCTAATGTGTCCAACAATCAGCCTTGGAACAGGACTAGAAGAAATGCTATTTCCCACTTAGAAAGCAATCGACATTTTCCCTCCAGAAAGGCACTTCTTCAAAACTGTTGAGTTTGCACAATCAGACATGCAGAGGAAGCCCGGGTTTTCATCCTGGTGACCAATCACAAAAGAAAAGTGAGCCAATGTGCAAATCATTGAGATGCAGAACCTCACGCTAGGATAAAGAAACTACTTTTCTGTAGCAACACATCTAATGACACGCTAACTATATTGTAATGTCTGATCCCAAACATCCTTTTTTAATAGTGTGCCATGCTGGCCACTTCCTTTGCAAGGATGAAAGTGGTGTGTATGACCTTGATCTACAGTAGATCTCACCTCACAGAAAACTGTATGCTTTTACTTCCCGTGTCTTGTTTTAACTGAAAATCAGAAACAAACACACTGGCTGTTTCCCCACTTTCAAAGAGACTATTTGTAATATGCAATAACCTCAGGAGACACTGTGGCAGCAAGGAGAAGAGATTTTCAATGGGGAGAACAGCATGGGGATGAAATGTTAACCCCTATATCCTCTAGTTTTGATCTGATTTGGAGGACAGTGTCGTTTGTTTTTTTCTCAAAACGAAAAGAAAGGGAAGCAAGAACAAAACTAGACAGCACTGAGCACAGCTTTTGACAATGCACACTTAAAATAGTGTGTACTTTGACCCTTCAGTTCATGCCTTAATAATGCAATCCTAGATCTAACTCAGCCTCACTTAGTTGAATGGAGCCTATTTGTAACAAAATGGACATGGGATTGTAGTCTCAATCGTTTGAAGAGCCTGGATTATTTTAAATGCAAGCCATTCTGCACAACTGTGTTATGGAACTGGAGATCAAGAGCAAAACAAGAAGATGTAAGTGTAAATAGTAATCAATGGACTTTTAAATTACAATGTAGACTTTAGTACACAAATACTATTTCACAAGTGATTTCAGAACTAATTAATGTCTTTCGGAAAATGGGTGGGGAAATGATGGCTTTGGACAGCTCTTCCTCACACACTGATTATCCTGTCAGAGAGGATGCATCCTGTTAAAAAAAAATAAAAATGAAACAGATGGAAGCTGATGGGATGAATGGTGGCAGTTAGATTCTGTCTAGTCTTGGAACAAGGAGAAGGCTGAGAAAGCTGTTGCTAACATTTTGGATGACTCTTTGACATAGTAATATATTGTGCTGTTGTCTGCAGGACACTCATCGGCCTTCTAATCATCTTAGTGGCTTTCAGACAAAAACCATTTGGAGCATATTTGTAGAAAATAAACTGTCTGGCTTTTTGAGGACTTCAGCACATGATGCTTATTAACGGGGGCCCGATACATCCTGTACAGCTTGGTTTCCTGTCATTCCTGCTAGAGAGGACAGCCTGTAGCATCTCCTATGTTGGCATTTATCTTGGATCTTTTGAGAGAGAGAGAGAAAGAGATGAATGAAATGAGTGTGGAACAAAGCTACAGTTCAAAAATAACCAAACGAGTGGGAACAAAGTTCCTTTATTTGTGTAATGAGTGTCATTTGTTAGGAGAGCAGGCCATGCCAAGCAGCAGCCAAGTTAACTTGTGGATTCATCCCCTGAAAATCACAATGGTGAGCAGAGCACACTTTCCTCTTTGGAAAGAAATCACACCCACACATCTTACTCTAGGGAAACAAGAAAACTACTGTTTATTAAAGAAATATATTACAATAAGAAAGATGAAAAGAATTCTATTTCTATGCGATGCAGGGAAGTGGAGAGGCAGGAAGCCATGGCTGCCCCTTCACTTCTTGAGGACAAAGGCAAAAGGTCTCTTGACTTCTGTCAAAGAAGGAAAGGAAGTGACATCAGCAGCCCTAACAACATCATGGCCAAAGGAAGGTCAGCACAGGTCAGAGCAGGTAAAGAGAAGTCTAGGACATCCAAGAAATACCTCCGTTCTCTGTGTCCCTCATGCAAACGGGCATCTTCTTCAGTGAGTTGCATCATTATCTTCAATACCACTTTCTAATTGTTGTTCAAAGTCACTTTCAAATGGCATTCTAAGGATTTTCAGTGCCATTTTGGCAGGAGGCTTTCAAGTCTGTGCCATTTTCTTATCATCCCTAAGCGTGATAAGCAATGGAAAATAATTAAAAGCAATGACCAAAGAAATAAGGAAGGAAATAAATTACTTTTCCAACACTCTCAATGAGTTAACAATTATATTTTAAACATAATTTAAAAAGTAATTGACATTACTCTCTTTAAAGGGGCTTTTCAAACTCTGGTTGGAAATGAAAATAGCAGCTTTAGTAATATATGTCCCTATCATGTATGAACGGTATACAGTGGTGCCTCGCTTAACGATGATAATCTGTTCCAGGAAAATTGCCGTTAAGCGAAAACATCATAAAATGACATTAAAAACCCCATTGAAATGCATTGAAACCCATTGAATGCATTCCAATGGGGTAAAAACTCACCGTCCAGCGAAGAACCTCCATACGGCAGCCATTTTCGCTGCCTGTATAGCGAGGAATCCGTCCCTAAACACAGCGGGGGATCCATTTTAAGCACCTGGTGGCCATTTTGAAACCGCCGGTCAGCTGTTAAAAAAACATCGTTTTGTGAAGGATCGGTTCCCGAAGCAGGGAACCGATCATCGCAAAGCGAAAAAACCCTAGACTATTGTTTTGTGATTGCAATTGTGATTGCAAAAAGATCGTCGTACAGCGATTTTGTCATAATGCTGGGCAATCGTTAAGCAATGCACCACTGTATTGCCCTTCTTTAAATCCGATGGAGAAACATCTATGCTTGTGTGGCCTCTGGCATTGGCTGCCAGAGAAGAAGACATCACTGTGGAATGTTCACAAAGATACTAACTGCTCACAAAACAAAGCAGCCTAGTTTCAATAATGGAACAGAAACTGCCATTTGGGTTTCAATGAAAATCTTATGTGAAGTTTCAGAGAGGACTCCGAACAGATATGATGAAAGGGAACAGTAAGTCCAGAGGAAAAAAAACTGAAGAAAAGGGGCAGTATGGGCAATAATCTGAGAAAGAAAGAAAGAAACTAATAAATGGGGAAGCAAAGCTAGAAACTGGGGTGGGAGGTGGGGAAGAGGCTGAGAAAAAACCTCACAGTGCTTCAGGTGAAGAAAGTCTGTATTTATCAGACTGAGTTGGAGGTAGTTTCACTAAAGGAAGTACAATAGAGCAGCCAATATGCTGAAAACTAAAGAACAAAGAAAGCAGCGGGTGAAGGAGAAATTGAACTGGAAAAGAGGAAGCCAAGAGAAAACCTTTACCACCAGCCTACAGTTAGGAAGAGTGGTGCAAAATTGGCAGGAAGGAGTGGGCAGGCAATGGAACCAGGGAAAAAGGGGAAAGTCTGTAACCTGTGAGCCACAGAGTTAAGTTGGATTGAATTAAATAAAAGCCTGACTCGGTAGAATTTCCACAATTCTCAATTCACACAAAGTTTAATGTTTCAACTGAGACTTATATCAAACTTCAAGTGAGCACCATGCCAAAAATGCTATTGTTATATAATTGTATTCTTCTTCTCTTAAAAAAGGAAATTGGCTTATGATGCATGGGATCACTAATACTCATTGTAACAGAGGGCTAAAGCATCCCACAGAGAAATGGGGTGATACCTCATATCTTCATGATACATTTTGTTCCAGTAAGATTTAATTGAATTTGGAACTCATTCAACCCTATTTACCTCACAGCAGGTATTTTCTATTAAGAAAATAAAGAATGTAATATTCAAGTCCACTCTTCTGTGACTATGGAGACAGATCATTTAACAATGCCACCTTGAATTTACAAATGGTTTTCTCCATATATTCATTATTGCTTTCTGAAGGATGGTTGGCTTACTTATTAGCCTGCCCACTGGGTTCTTCTCTTTGCTATGATAAGTGTTCCACAATTTTATGCTATAGATTTGAATGCAAATTATGTTTTTCTCTTTCTTTTTCTCCAGCTAACTTAAACATCCGTCAACCTGTGTGTGGGATATGTGTGTGGACTTTTCTCCCTCCAGATACTGATGAAAAAATAAGCAAATGAAAGCAAACAGTGGCCAGGCAGCAGGAAGAGATGGCATATTCTTGGACTGAGAGATCCAAGTTGAAATCTCTATTGAGCCACTAAGGTCACTGGGTGTTGGTGACCTGAGGCTCGCCAATTGTTTCTCTTAGCCAAATCTAGCTCACCATTGCAAAGATAAAGTAAGATGGAGGAAAGCCATATGCACCACATTGAGCCCACTAGAGAATGGACAAGATATAAAGGTAATGAATAAGTGAGCAGCTGAGAAACCTCTGTTTTTTGTCCCTGCTAATGTGCTTCAGACAAAGGAAAGAACAAAGTATCTCCAGCATTACATTGTGCTCCAATTTATTTATCCTCATCATCCCCCAAGACCCTTTCGGAGCTTCCACCTGCGTTCAACTCTGGACAGTCTCTTTCAGCAATTTCATGTCAATGCTGAAAAATGCAGGTGACACCAGTACAGTGGTGCCTCGCTTAACGATTGCCTCGCTTAATGAGGAAATCGCTTGACGATTAGGTTTTTGCGATCACAAAAAAGATCACAAAACGATGGTTTAAATGGGAAAAATCCGCTTCACGATGATCGGTTCCCTGCCTCAGGAACCGTTTTTTGCATTACGATGATCTAAAAACAACTGATCATTGGGTTTCAAAATGGCTGTTGGGTGTACAAAATGGCCCCCACCATTTTCTAGGACAGATTCCTCGCTTTACAGGCAGCGAAAATGGCCACCCCTATGGAGGATCTTCGCTGGATGGTGAGTTTTCAGCCCATTGGAATGCATTGAAGGGTTTTCAATGCATTTCAATGGTCTTTTTTATTTTGCTTAACAAGGATTTCATTCTACAGCGATTTCGCTGGAACAGATTATCCTCATTAAGCGAGGCACCACTGTAGTAGTTACAGTCCGGGAAAAGCCAAATCCTCCACTCTTCAGCCACAAATCATATCAATTATTCTTATCACCCCATGAGAAAACCTAAATGCAGGTGGCTCAAACAGGGCCAAGTGATGCACCACAGATAGCCTATCATTAGAAGCTGAAATTTGCCAGTACCAGGGATGTGATTCCGGCAGCCTTCATGAACATGCTCACACATGAACCAGGTGCTTAACTTTTGTTGACCAATTATCCATTAATCATTCATTCACTCAGTCGCTTACTCATGTATGTTAGTTATATGCCATAGGTGACTCAAAGGAGGTCACAACAATAAAAACTATTCGACAATCACACATTCTAAAATGCCGTAAAACTATAATACACATTAAAAATATTTTTTTAAAAAATTAAATCTCTAAGTTCAATAACTATCACACTACTGGAACATGTACACACACCCATACTGCTTGAAAGCCTGCCTGAAAAGAAAGGTTTTTGCTTGAGGATAGAAGGGGAAGATGGAGGGAGCCAACCTCACTTCATGGGGCTGTGCATCCCAAAGTCTGGGAGCATAAAGCAAAGCAAGCTATTGAGGAGGTTCCTTCTCATTGTATTTCCATACTATTTTGCAAACTACAGGAGACATGAAAAGTTTTTGATTTAATACACTTCTGCCACTTACAGAACAATCTAATGATGGATATTCTGTAATGTACAGGTTTGTTCTTACTTGGTAGGAAATCTAACTGAACTCAGTGGAACTTACTTCTAAGTAGATATTATAGATACTATAGGAAATCAGCTCACCCGTTCCATTTTGTTGCTTTATTTTGGTGCTCTCTCATGCATTTATAGTGCAAGAATGGTACAACTTAGCTTCACTCAGAATTATTTACATTTAAAATATTCATAGTTTTATTCTAGATTAGGACATGTGTTGATGATAAAAAAGGATGAGAGCTTAATTTAAGCATGGAAAAGCAAGAGTTCATATGCACAATAGTTGTAGATTTGATTTTTTTTCCCCTTGACTGATCTTTTTCTGCTATGTATACTTGTAGAACAGAGTATATTAGCAACACTAAAGAGGGTGTGTGTGTGTGTGTGTGTGTGTGTGTGTGTGTGTGTGTGTGTGTGTTTTTAAAGGACAGGATATTTTTCAACAACAATCTGCCTTTTACCAAACATCCCAGCATTTGTCTCCAAAGACTTTCAAAGCAAGGAAAGAATGAAGAACGGAAACCATAAAGCATGCATTACTGCTATCCTCTAATTACTGAATGAATAGAGCAGTTGTTTTGTTTGACTGCACTAAGCCAGTTATCCACTGCTAGCTTCATTGACAAAAAAGGGAATCTGAACAAATTATAGGGAAATTCAGGCACCCAAGGAATGTTTTGGTTCAAGGGGTTGCAGTGACTGTTGGCTTTGCTTCCTGGCCAAGGTTGCCTCTGCCATTTGAACTCTGCTGGGCTGGGTCAGCCTGATGCTTTCCAAAAAAGCCTGAGAAGAGGACTAACTTATATGACATCTGTGTCCCATAAATAAATTAAAGTGATGTTCTCCAGTGTGAATTTGTTTCTTGGCAAGCCAACCTGCAATCAGAGAATGAAAAGCCTTTCATTTGTGGGACTCCAGCAAGAGGAAGAAAGCTTTTGTAAGTGGATTCACCAGAGACCAAAATATTAAGAAGTGGAATTGGAAAACCATATGCTTCAGTTCCACTTAAATATGCAGATCTTTGAATCAAAACCATCAAGAGGATGTGTGTCGGTGTGAGCACTCAAGGCACCTCTGTGGTCAATGGGATCTCATTCCGGAAATCTGAACTCACTTCCTTCCTTCCTTCCCTCCCCTTTATGGAAGTGTTCTCTTTCTAGGCCTGGGAATGACTGCAAAAAAGGTGAATAGATAGGCTATGTAGATGTAAGAGACATGCTTTATCACTCTAGTGTTCAACTGTTGACATATTCACTAAAATCAAGTCCAGGCTATGAAACAACAGGAGGACCTTCAGACATGGATCCAATTGCAAGTACCAGCTACAGCCAACCTACTGAAGTAGTAAGAGTTACACAAGGATAGATTTGCCATTCAGCATTTAATTCAGTGGCTCTACTCCAGTTGGGGCTATTAATGGGATTTAATCCTTCATTTTGCAAGCATTGGC